AAGAGACAAGAGACAAGAGACAAGAGACAAGAGACAAGAGAAAAGAGGAAGCAAGCGGCCAGACGCTGGGGCAGCTAGGGCCCTGCTGTGGCCGTGCACTGGAGAGCTCACGTACTAGATCATTCTCTCTTCTGTGAGTCTCTTTTTGAGCCTAAGCGCAGCTGCCGAGCCTGCCGAGTGGGAGGACACGCAGGAGCTCAGCCGCCAGCGCCTCGTGGGCGAGTGAAGCGCGTGGGAGGGAGCGCGAGGGCGTGACGGGCCCCTAGAGCGCGCGCGCCCTTCCTGAAGGCCCACCTGCCTCCAGTCCGCCTGACCTTCCCATTTCTACGGAAAACCTGGGTATTTGCACGAACTGTGTGGGGTTGTTTTCCGTATCTGACTTTTACATCCTTTCTTTAGCCTGTGTTTGCTGTACCCAACGATTACATCCATCGTGGGGAGTTGGTGCGCACGCAGCGCATCTTAATTCTTTTCCAGTCCCCTTCATCTCCCCATCTCTTGGTCCCCTTCCTCTTTCCAAGGAGAGTTCTGGCTCTATGTTTCTTTTATCCCTCTCATTTATTGATTTATACTTTGGGTTTGTCATCCAAGAGAAGCCATGTGACGTTTATTCATTTCACTTAACATGAGGGTCTCAAGGACCTGCGTTTTCCTACAAAGTACTTGTTCATCCTTCTTTACGGCAGACTAGCATTCCACTGTGTATAAATATCACATTCTTTTTATCCTCTCATCTCTGGATGGACATCTAGGCCACCTATGATGAGTCGTGCTGCTCTAAGCACGGCTATGCCTGTGTCACCGTAATATGATGCCTCTAATCTTTGGGGAAGATACTTAGAAGGGGACTGGATACCTCAACTGCAATTTCTACTTGTAGTTTTTTGATAAATCTCCATTCTGATTTCCAGACTGGTTGTAAATAAAAGGTTGATGATTGTAGGAAAAACTTGAGATGGAGAGGAGCAGAAGGTGGCAGAGATGTCATGAGGGAAGGGCGGGGGCGGGGACATGAACAGAATTAAGGTGTGCTATGTGTCAGTTCCTCACGGTGAATGTCACCGGTGTGTCCTGCGAACATTACTAATAAAAGACGAGAAGATGGGGGAAAAAAAACCAATGTAGAGGGCCAGGGAGATAGGGCAGTAGAATAAGCTCTTGCCTGGCAAGTGTAAGGTCCTGAGTTCAATCTCCGGTACTGCAAAAATAAAAAAAATTAAAACAATGTAGAAGAGTTCCTTTTCCCCCACAGTCTCCCTGGCATTTGTTATGATTTGATTTTTTTTTTTTTTTTTCAGTACCAAGGATTGAACTTAGGACCTTGCCAGGCAGGCACTTATGCCACTGAGCTATATCCCCAGCCCATTTTATTATTTGATTTCTTGATGATAACCATTCTCCCTGGAGGGGGGTGGGGTAGAACCTCACTGTGATTTTAATTTGCTTTTCTCTAATATTAGGCCAGAGATGTTGGATATTTACATATTTATTGGCCATCTGTATTTCTTCTGAGATGTGTCTATTTGTTTTAGTTGTCCATTTTTTGACTGATTTTAATCTGTTTTATTTTTGTTTTTGTTTTTAAGCAGGGACTCTCTACGCAGTTCGGGTTGCCCTTGAGTTCACTTTCTAGCCTGGGCTGGTCTCGAACTCACAATGATCGTCCTGCCTCAGCTTCCTAAGTGCTGAGCTTACAGGAGTGTATTTTTTTTTTTAGACAAGATCTGCTATGTAGTTCATGCTGGCCTTTAACTCACTATGTACCTCAGCCTGGCCTCCAGCTTGCAGTGATCCTCCTGCCTCAGCCTCCTTAGGGCTAGGATCACAGACGTGGAGCACCACATCTGGCTAATCTGATTTTTAAATGATACATGAATGTGAGCCTGCTGTAGCTTCTGCAGTGCGGATTATTCTTCTGGCAGTAATGGAACTGCCCACCTAAAAATGCAGACTTAGAAGATGCGCAGGCAATTCCCCTCCCTGCTGACTCCCAGGAATTGCCCTCCCAGGAGTATGCTAGGCAGATTTCTGTCTCCACACAGGGCTTCCATGCATGGGAGAAGGGAGGCCTTGGAGACTGTAGCTGTCCAGAGAGCCTGTCCATCGCTGCACGCACAGCGCCACAAGCCCTGTCCCCTCACCAGTGCAGGGTTACATCCCTCCAGACTCCAAGCCATCCCTCCTTCCAAACAGACCCAGGACTGTGCTGGCCTTCAGCTCCTCCTAAGAGCTGCAGGTGCTGTCCCCCGCTTCCACCCCCAACCCCAAGCTACTAGAGACCACGCGCACATTTGCCAAGCTTCTGCCCAGCCCCGAATCCCTACTCACCAGCGAGGAGAAGGACAACCCTGAAGGCCATCACAGAGCAGCACACTGAGGGGGAAGTAGAGGTCCAGAACCGAGAGCGCCTGTCCCCCCCTGGGGAGTTAAAATAATGACTCAGGCCTCAAAGGGGTGGGAGGAGGGGCGCAGTGGAGAAAAGGGCCTGGGTTAATCACAGAACTAGGTGGGAACAGAGAGCCCAGAGAGGGGGAGGGAACCACAAGCCCTTCCAGCTGCCACCACCTGCAAGGTTCTCACCTCCTTCTCCCAGTAGACCACCGTCCCCCAGCCCTTGAGAGCCAGCTGGTACCCAGTGGGGCTCCAGAGATCACTGAGGCTGCCCAAAATACAAGGGGAGCAAGCCAAGCAAACTGCAGCAGAGGCCCCAGTACACGCATGGGGGCCTAGAGAGGAAGAGACCACCCCAGAGTGGCGAAGGTGTGGGCCGGTGCAAGGAGCCAATCCTCAGTCAGGGTATGGGTTTAAAAACCATACACCCGTCTCCAAAGCCAAGCACAGTGGTACTACCTACAATCTTAGCACTTCGGGAGCCTGAGGCAGGAGGATCATAGGTTCATGTCCCACCTGAGAAAGACCTTATCTCAAAATGAAAAATAACATAAGCTGGGGATAAAGGTCAGTGATAGAACACCTCTGGGCTTGACAAAACTGTAGATGCCCCCAAAGAAGAACGGATAACCACATTGGTAAGGGCATACTTGAATAGCCTCAACAGAAGGTAAGACCAGACAGAAAAGATAGACCACCACAGAAATGAACTTGGTTTTATCTTAAACGAAACATCAAGACTCTACAATGCATAATGTACCATTCCCGCCATATGAAGTTAGGCAACCAGCGAAACTCCATTGTGAAATCGGAAGAGTGATTGTTTCTGGGGGGGTTGGGGAGTTTTAAACACTTTGATATTTAACATTTAATACT